CCTACCTGTGAACTGCGCGCTGAGGACCTGCGGGTTGTGGATGATGTCCTTCCAGAGCTGCTCAAACTCGGGTATCCTTGCAACGTTTTGCAGCAGCCGCACAAGGTCCCGGCCGATCATGAAGCAGTCCATGAACTGGGGAAAGGAGAGGAAATAACAAACCTCATTTACTGTTTACCTGCTGCTGAGCAGGGGGAAGGGAGAAGGCACCGGGGGGGCAGGAGGGGAAGGGAGGAACAGTCAGTCCTTCAACCTTACGGCCGGCTCCAGATGATTCACTCTTTGTACAATCTCTACACTCCTGGCCCTGGCAGCCTGCCCCTCTTTTGAAGCTAGCAGGTTGTGAGAGGCAGGGTGACAGGCGGGAAGTTCAGCAGCTATTTTAAAATGTTCTCTCTCTTGTAAAGCAAACAATCGGCCCATAAATCTCACATTTTCTCTCCAGGACTGCAGCCAGGCTCTGAAGATAGGACTTGACACTCGGTCCTTCCCGCCCAGCAAGGAGGAAGGGGAGAGCGGGCCGCGCTCAGACCAGCAGCAGGGAGCTGCAGAGCCGGCGTGGCACGCAGGGCTAGGACGCCAGACGCAAGGGTTTCTGGCTACACCCAGCTTTGGTGGCTTCTCCTGCGTGACATGAGCCAAAGAGCGGCCTAGAGCTGGCTGTCGTGTTCTCTCAAAGCCTGCCAGGACACTGGCTGCCTCCCTAAGGGACGAACTGATGTCCTTGCAGGTATGGTAAGCCACCAGCACCAAGAGAATGGTGTTCAACCCTTGTGGCCGGAATAAAAGAGACTGCAATGACGGAGCCACCATGCTCTCCCCTCCCTGCGGCCTGGAGTTCGACGGGACAGCTGGTGTAAATGGTTCAAAAGCCATTCAGAGCCTGCGCTGGCAACAAACCACACGCTGCTGCCTGCCCAGTGCAAGCTGGGGGCTGCCTCTGAGGACCCAGCGCGTCCCACGCTTCCAGCTGCCCGAGGAACACGGGCCACGCCACCGCGCGCAGACAGAGTCCCCAGAGCGGCAGGTCTCTCTCCCCAGCCACCCCCCGAGTCCCCCGATTTGCTCACCCGTTCACGGAGGAGGGAGATGCAGAAATCCACCTCCTTTTGACGAAGCACCTGGAGCTGGGACGTGCCGTGGTGGTCCACGATGAGCCGCAGGTACGTGTACACCGCCATGGCTATCAAGAGGCTGCTTTTCAGCACCCACTCTCTGTAATGGGAGGAAAAAAAAGAGAAACACCTTCAGCAACCCGAGCGAGGAGGCAACCACAGCCAGAAGTGATACAAACGTGGGGACTCAGGACAGAGGAAACCGAGGGACAAAGGAAACAGCAAGGACAGGGACTCCAGCCGGCTGTGCCAGCACGGAGAACGTTCATCCACGGACCACTCCCTGCTCCAGCTGCTTGCTACGCTTTGGCCCACCTCCTGCTCCCCCAGGACAGTCCCGTCACCGTCTGCCGGCCGGGTGCTCGCACCCCAGGCTCTCTGGCAGGGCGGCAGACGTGCTCATGCACAGCCCTGCCTGGATTTCCAGGGCCACAGAGACGTTCTCCGCCACAGCAATCCAAGGTATTTGCAACTGCAAGCAACGAAGCGCTCGGGAGCGAGCGCGGGGAGCCAAGAACAGACTTGAGTTTGATGCTAACACTGACCACCACTGGAGCCTCTTCGCTGGTCTCCATAGCCAGGAGAGCACCGAGCAAGAGACAACGCACCAGGACGAGCTACGAAGGACCCTCCCGCACGATCGCGCCCCAAACGCTCTCACACAGAACCATGCAAGCGGTGTCTTCGTGCTCCCCGGCCACCAGCCTGCTGAGTGGATTAATCCAGCAAAATCGGTGGCATCCTGAGCAGCAGGTCACGCAGGGCCTCTTAACGAGACGCCGCGGCTCCCGAGCCCTGCGCTGGGCTGGGAAGCAGCTCCCACAGCACTGGGGGCAGAAGAAGAACTGCCCCGGCGTGGCCAGGGAACGGGGCGTGGGGCAGAAGGAAAAGAGCAGCCCTGACTCTCAGGAAGCTGGACGCGCTGAATGGCAAAATCTGGGCCAAAACAGACGTGCTTGAGATCAAACACGAGGGAGATTTGCGAGAGGGCAGCTGCATAGAGAGGGTCTGCGGTGGGAGAAACATGGCAGCCCCATCGTGGGCACGGCCGGAATCTCTCCTGCCCCGGGGAAGGGCAGGGGCAAGCAGCGCTCTGCTCAGTGCAGGGGCTCCATACCCAGCACCGGCTTTCTGGAAGCGAGATTTATTTCTCAGCTTCGTGTCCTGAGCGTGGGCAGGTGCTTCAGCTCTGCTCTGCTCCCTCGCAGTGGTGGAGCCCACCAGCAAAGCGCTTCCAGCAGCTGCTCCGCCGCTGCCTCCCGCCCGCGCTGCCCT